TTTGCTTTGGAATTAGAATTAAGCTAATCTGCAAGTTCTAAAAGTTTATGTATGCCAAGGTTTTAGTGAAAGTGTTAGTTTTTTAAGAATGATTGTTTTATTATGAGAATAAATAATCATTTTCACAAGGGAAAGTGAGGTGCAAAACTATGAATGCAGGACTTGCATAACGGGTACCAAAACTGACTTGTCATTCCTTATCCAATTTACATTTGTTTATAAAAACTTGGAGCTTGAACATGCAGAATTTTTTTTTTTGAGAAAAGGTGTTGTGCTTTGGCATTTTCACTGTATCTCTTTCCTCCCCATCTTGTTCATTTTTCTGTGTTTTGTATATGCTATGTGGCTTTTCTTGTGATCTTAAATTGTATACTCTGATATTTGAGCAACCCAGTATATTGTTGTCCAACTCCCCTATATGGCCTGTAACCCACTGAGATAACAGAATGAGATAATCAGGTTATTATATCCTGGTTGCAGAATGAGGAGAATTGATGGTACTGAGAATGATCATCATTCCAACGATTTTCATGAACAACAAATCAGAATATACGAGAGAGAATACAGTATCGTGGTTAAGGAGTCCTAACCACAGAGGGCTTCTGAAGAACTTGCCCTGTCCCTGTACAGTCAGATGTTCCTAGTTTTGGACAAGATTTCTCCTACATTTCAAAAGTACTCCATGATAAAAGATACTTCAAGTCCAGGAAGCACCAACCTGACTGCCCTACGAGCAATCACAATAAAAAGATATTTTCTGCAATTTCTCCTCTACTTCCTAAACCCAACCTTTCAACACCTGTTGACCTAGATGGACTTTGTTCCTGGACATTTACTCAAGCACACTAAAACCTTAATCCACAAGACATATGCACACCTTTGTTCATTACAATATTCACAATAGCCAAAAGATCTAAAGCTATTAGCAAAGATTAAATCTTTCAACTTGCTGCAACATGGATTAAGTTGGAGGTTATCATGCTAAGTGAAATGAGTCATGAGAAAAAAAATTGAATGATCTCTTTCATATGTGGATTATAAAGAGATGAAGCTAGGAATAAGACACAATCTCAGGTAGTGTCAACAGCACAGTGATCTGTGGCAACAAAGGAAGGGAGAGAGGAGGATTGTGGGACTGTAGTTGAGTTACTGATGGTGGTGGCGGGAGTGGTATAGTAGCATAGCAATTACATGTAGTAGCATAGAAATAAAGCATTGACATGAAAATTATAAGCCATATTACTAAAAAAATTACTTTTATAAACTTAAAAAAGTCTTTGTTAAATACATAGTTAATTTTCTATTTTAGTGTTAGCCAATTAAATGTGTATTTATTCCTTCAAAGGATAAGTTTTATTATTTTAAAAAAGATATTTTGCTTTTGTTTGGACTTAATTCAAAATAACATCTTCAGTAATTTTTCTTTCAAAAGGTAGACATTCAAGTTGAAGATTCAGCTCATTAAATAATACAGTTTTTAAGAATTAAACTTAATTAGTGTTATTACTATAATTCATTCCATCATGATGGTCATTCAGCCTTCACAAATTTTGACCTCTAATTAGTATATGGAATGAATCTATTAAGTTGGATGAGATGCAGTGTTCTTACTTCTTTTTTTGTCAATCTAGAACTTTTTTTCTTGAAAGATTCCAGTTGAAAAATTAAGTTAAAGTCCCAAAGTTCTTACAAATGCAGGTTTGATAACTACTGCAGAAAGATTCGATTTCTATGAATGGGAATCATTTTATCATATTTTAAAACACACAAACTCATTCAATTAAAAGTTTTAGTAGGAAAGAAATGAGCTATTCAGGTAGAAGAGTTACAATTCTTAAGTGTTTTAATGCTTGTTATTAATACTGCCCTGGTTGAGTTGGCTACTATAGTTAGCAAAAAAACATAAAAATACACATAAATAAAAAGAAAAATTATTAATATTAATAAATGGCTGTTTATGTGGGAAATCTATGGAATTCAAATGAAAAAACTATTATATACGTTTTAAACTATTACAGATCTCTGTTCATGTTATTTTTCAACTCTTTTGCACTCTTTTTAAAATTTCACGATACTTAAAAATGCTTATATGATAACCTTTGCTAATTTCTTATACATAAGGATGTTCCCTTTTTACTAACTAGAATATAAGTATTGTGTATTTTATTCAATGATAGTATCCCCAAATTTAGAAGATACCTAAGTATAAAAGCTCAAAGTACATGTGAATATTCATGTAATTCTGTAAAATTGTATTTATATAAATAACATAAATGCTTCTAGATGCATACACTATCATAAGACAATGAAAGAAACCCATAGTAATGAGAGAAATAGTACCAGAAATAAGTAGGTAGGACATTTTATCATTTAACAGTGTGGCATATTATTCTTTAATTAATAAAAAACCAAATAAGAAAAAAATATCTCTTGAAACTGTAGTGCATATAACTAGCCAAGCCTAATTCTGAAATTCACAATTGTTTGTAAAACAATCTTAGAGTTCCTAAGATGTTTATTGTAATGCCACTAGGTGGCATATACTAACTGATAAATTCTTAAAGACAGGCTTTTTTTAAAAGCTCTTTTAGTTCCACACACTCAAATTTACTTTGGCTTTACATTGGATTCATTTTTCTTAAGAAATTTAAACTTAAAGTGTTTTTCTGTACCAACATTTAGGCTGTGTTTCACTGTAATTTTTACTTAACAGTATGAGTTATGGTTATATTTTAAATCTCCAAATGCTAGTTTAGGTAAACTTCAAAATTGTTTAAATTCTGATGTTTTTCTATAACAGTTGCCTATCTTGTCATCTTGTTTTTTTCATGAAATAACTTAAGGAATAGAGATTTTCAGATTTTGTACACAATTCATATGATCATATTTGCACTGATTTTATGTCACATAAATTATTGTCTTAGGACCACATGAAAATTCTATTCACACTGAGATTTGGCATGTGAATACTGAGGAGGATTTAAAAAATCATTTATTGATTCTCTCTGCAGAGACCTTTAATTCTGTGGGTGGGGAAGGCTATGAACACAATTAAAAAGAATGCCAAAATATAGTAAGTTATTAAATAAAAATTCTAAGTGTAAGGTAAGGAAAGCAGTTGATACTAATTTGGAGACTAAGAATTAGAAGGAATTTGAGAAAACCCTTGAAATATGTAGCATTCTCTGAACAAATTAAACTTGGGCATTATATTTATATTTCTATGTAAAGATAAAATATAAGGATAAATAAACTAAATAAATTATATCAATAAATTAAAGAATAAATAAAATCCAAGATAAAAATATAATTTCCATATGTTGGTAGCAACTATGGATAAATGAATTATTTTGGGGGTGTATTTTCCTTTCCTTATAGGTTAACACTTGAATACTCCAGGTTTTTTGTTTTGTTTTTGTTTTTTGTTTTTTTGCTTTTTGGGTCACACCCGGTGATGCACAGGAGTTACTCCTGGTTCATGTACTCAGGAATTACTCCTGGTGCTGCTCGGGGAACCATATGGGATGCTGGGAATCGAACCTAGGTCAGCTGTGTGCAAGGCAAATGCCCTACCCACAGTGCTATTGCTCCAGCCCGAATACTCCAGGTTTTAAAGCTATCCATCTGTATGGTTTAAAGGGATATTGCAAACAATGGAATAGAAGTACTATAACAATTCTCAAAGAATATTTAAACACATTTTTTTCATATCTAAAAATTGTGATATCTTTGGTCTAAAAACAATTGTATTATTTTTGATAACGTTTTCTCTAAAAGTGATAGGTGTATATTTTATAAATTAATATTCTAAAGCATTTGTTGAGCAAATTCTAAAATAAATTGGCAAAATTATCAGACTAGATGCATTTTAAAGTATTTTTTAATCTAAAGATTCTGATTTTTTTATATAGTAGAGATATAGTAATACACACACACATACATATATATATATATATATATATATATACTTAATTGGGTTCAGAAGATGGTTTAGTGTCTTAAATCACGGATCTTATATTGTGTGCGGCTAAAATTCAAACCTTGGTGCAGTTGGTATGAACTGAGGCCATCATGACAAGTCCACATTTGTGATCTCTTAGCAAGAAGGATGCAGGCCCAGAGCTTAGTTTATATTCATCAAGGAACAATGGTCTATGAAATCAGTTATTGGGGGGGGGAACCCTAAACATTTAGTAATAAGTGTTTTATTCAAAAGTTGTAATTCTTTCATGCTTACTATATTAGAAAAATGCATCTGTTATTTTATTTAATGCTCATGAAACCTTATGGTGTGTGTACAATTACCTTCATTTTACAAATGAAGAAAATATGGCACAGAAAATTTCAGGAGTTTACAACACAGAGTTTACAATATTGTTTCCCCACCTAGATCTCCAATGTGAATTGTGACTTATTAAGTTGACAGACACATTAAGATAAGTTTATTAAGCATATCAAAATTCAATGAGAACATTAAGTACAGAGACTAGGATATTTCACGTAGCCAATCGTTTCATATAGCCAAAAATTACAACTTTGTATAAAGCAAAGTTGTGATAGTTTCCTATCTGTTTTTGTATATGTTGCCCTCTACATCTAGTTAGCTCTACACTGTTTTGTTCTATTCTTTCTTCGGTACATTTTTGCATGCCCTATAATTCATTTTATTCTTTTCTGGGTACATCTTTGTGTTTATATTCTAAGACCTAAGCTGTTTTGCCCGAGCTTGGGTTGGATTTTTTTGTGAGGGAGAAGACCTCTCACAGTGTTCTTAACTTTTTATAACTTTCTAAGACTGAGATAAATAATTTTATTTTAGTAAATAAAGAATCTGACCTTTTATTATCAGCACAAAATTCCCACAACGAGATGCTAAACTTGAGTATTTGTTTTATTAGATTTATACAGCTCACTGGTTCAGTCAATTATGTTAAAGTAATTATACATAAAAAATAATTATATATTCAAAAGAAATCTTATTTTGTTATGTGTTTCTGCAGCCAGAAAATGGTAAGAATAAAAAGAAATGGTACAAAAGTGCACTACAAGAAGCATATCTGCTGTACGGATTTTCTCCTGAGCAAAGATTGGAAATGTGCTACCGATCAAAAAAAGGTATGAGATTTTTTCTTATTTACCACTTTGGTGTAAAGATTTATTCAAACACATGCTTTCAAAAGTATGCCTGGTATATAAAAATCTCTCTTCTTAGGGAAATAGTATATCTTTGTTAACTAAACAGTAACCTTTGTATGGTTTAGAAGTCTGTATTTTGTCATCTGAAACTATTTCCAGTAATCAAATATATGTTTTGTTTATTTCTTCTTTTTATATTTATTTATTAAATCACTGTGGGAAAGGTTACAAAGCTTTCAGGTTTAGGTCTCAGTCATGCAAATATCAAACACATTTCCCTTTACCAATACTTATCTTTTACCATGAAGAACCCCAATAAAACCCCACCCCCCACCCCTCCCAGTCCCTGTGAGGCAGATGAATTCTAGTTAACACTCTATCTGCTTTGATTAGATTCACTGTTTCAATAAAAGATTCACCACTATTATTTAGAGTTTACCCCCCCCCCCCCCCAAATCAGACATGCTGAAAAAGCATTGTGAAGTGATTTGCTTTCTACAGCTGGGTTCAAGAATTAAATGTTGGTTTTGGATTTCTGCTATTTTACCTATTGACCCTGGAAGTATTTCTACTGAAAGTCAGATAGTTAAGAAATTGATTTCTGTGTTCTGGAGTCATAGCCGTGCTGGAGAGCCGCTCGTGGGGGGCAACTGGTGGCCTCGGTAGGGCGTGAAGGGCGGACCGAAACGGCCCCCTTCCCATGAGGTTTTAGTCGCCCCCACACTCCCGGCTCATACCTGCTGTCCACAAGGCTCCCATGCGGCCGCCATCTTTCTTTCCAGAGAGGAGAGGGCGAATGGGGCAACACCCTTTCCCCTCCGGGCAGACTTGATGGCCTGGATTAACGCATAGTCCGTTCACTTTTCTGCTCCAAGCTGCTGGGTTCTGCATTAAGTCCTTGTGCTTCTGGGGCTGTGACCATGCTGGAGAGTCGCTCGTGGGGGGAAACTGGTGGCCTCGGTAGGGCGTGAAGGACGGACCGGAACGCCCCCCTTCCCATGAGGTTTTAGTCGCCCCCACACCCCCAGCTCATATCTGCTGTCCACAAGGCTCCCATGCGGCCGCTATCTTTCTTTCCAGAGAAGAGAGGGCGAATGGGACAACACCCTTTCCCCTCTGGGCAGACATGATGGCCTGGATTAACGCATAGTCCATTCACTTTTCTGCTCCAAGCTGCTGGGTTCTGCATTAAGTCCTTGTGCTTCTGGGGCTGTGGCCGTGCTAGGGAGCCGCTCGTGGGGGCAACTGGTGACCTCGGTAGGGCATGAAGGACGGACCGGAATGCTCCCCTTCCCATGAGGTTTTAGTCGCCCCCACGCCCCCGGCTCATACCTGCTGTCCACAAGGCTCCCATGCAGCCGCCATCCTTCTTTCCAGAGAAGAGAGGGCGAATGGGGCAACACCCTTTCCCCTCCGGGCAGACATGATGGCCTGGATTAACGCATAGTCCTTTCACTTTTCTGCTCCAAGCTGCTGGGTTCTGCATTAAGTCCTTGTGTTTCTGGGGCTGTGGGCGTGCTCCAAACTTAACTCTGATTTTCAGGGAGAAAGGTTGGGTGGTTTACTTCCCATTGATCACTTTGTATATAGAGAGATGTCACGCGGCCGCATAAGCGGCCGCGCGGTTTTGAGGAAAAGTCCTAGTTCCCGCATACTCGAGCTGTGCTTGTAGAGACTTCTGGTCACCGGGGTTCCATCTGGGGAAGGCGAGATGCGGTACCTACCCCATCTGGGACTTCCCAGTGATCTCGGCTCTTTTTGGAACCTGTTTTTTTTTTTTTTCCTCCGGGATCTGTGGTTCCCGCCCTCCATGTGGTCCTTCTCTTTGGCTGTATGTTGTAAAGATGGTGCTGGGGGGCAGGCTGTGGGCGTGACTTCCGGAATCAGAGGTTACCTGGGAGCTGTAGTCCCGGCAGATTTGAGAAAAAGTCCTAGTTCCCACATACTCGAGCTGTGCTTGTAGAGGCTTCTGGTCACTGGGGTTCCATCTGGGGGAGGCGGGATGAGGTACCTACCCCATCTGGGACTTCCCGGTGATCTCGGCTCTTTTTGGAACCTGGTTCCCCCCCCCCCCGCCCCCGGGATCTGTGGTTCCTGCCCTCCATGTGGTCCTTCTCTTTGGCTGTATCTATATGTTTTGTTTAAATGAAAAGATTTTATTTACTACTCTGTCATCTTCTTTGCTTGTAGACTATCTATATAGGTTTGCTTGTGTATTTCAAATTATGTTTTCAAAATTAGAAGCTCTGGCTTTAAATTATCCTGTGGTAAAATTCTCACTCTGATATGCTGTATTATTTCAGAATGGAGGATTTAAAATTTTTTTCTTCTACATAAATTCAAGTTTTGAATAAAAAGTATTTTCAGCATTTTACAATAAGTAATTTCTTTTTCTTTTTTATTTTTTATGCTACTCCCTCTGTGTTCAGGGATTACTTCTGGCTCTATACCCAGGGCTCACTTCTGGTATCACTGTCAATGTATCACTGTCTTCCTGTTGTTCATCAATTGCCTCGAGCAGGCCCTAGTAATGTCTCCTTCGTCCTACCCCTGAGATTTTAAAAAGTGCCACATTCGAGGCTCTTTCAGGGTCAGGAGAGTGAGACCCATCATTGTTACTGGTTTTTGGCATATTGAATATGCCACAGGGAGTTTGCCAGACTCTGCCCTGTGGGCAGGATACTTTTGGTAGCCTGTCAAGTTCTCCAGAGTGAGGACTAGGTGATAAGATGTCACGAGGCTGCAAATGTGGCCGCGTGCTTCCCGGAGCAGAGTTTTATAGTCTCTGGATCTTGGCCATTGATGGGATTACATGGCGCTGGGGTCAGTTGGTGGGTGTAATGCCTACATACTGGAAGATGAAGATCTGGGTGGAGGAGGTCCCAGTCCCAATCTGAGCAGGCTTGGAGATCTATGCCCTGGATCCCGCACACCTGGGTTCCTCATCCGGTTCCTTAATGTGTGAGGCTCATTCGAACGTGTGGAGCATGGCTGTGGCTGGAACCGGAGGTCTTCAGCTGGTCTTCACTTCTGGTGGGACTCATGTATTGTGCGAGGCAGATGCCCTACCCAATGTATGATTTTTTTCCAGCTCACATTTTCAATGAAAGTTATCTTGAATCTTAAACATTATGGTTTACAGTTTCCAAGCTAAAGGCAGTGCTCATGGTTTACTTTTAGTTCTGTGCTCAGGAATCACTCCTGGTAAGGCTTGGGAAATCATAGAAGATGCTGAGGAGCAGATCTGAGTTGGCAAAGATTGGAAATCTGTTGCTAATCAAGGAGGCTTTATGAAACTCCCTACGTGCTATACTGTCTCTCCAGCTCCAGACTAATGTAACATAATGATAACAATATAGTCTTAACATATTTTTGTTTCATTTTTTAAAAGTTTTAGTATTTTTCACATAAATAATGTTTAATAAAAGAAAGCTGATTCCAAAAAGCACAAGCTACTATTCTATGACATTCACAATCTGGCATGATAAATCTCTGGTTAGAAGTCAGAACATCCTGTTGGTGGAAGCAACGTGAGTGGAACACAAAAAATTTCCAAACTGTTAGCATCATTCTGTTTTCCTGATTGAAGTTAAATGGACACATTTATCCTGTGTTCATTCATTGAGCAGTGTTGCTGTGTATCCTTTTCCGCATAAATGTTATACTTGAATAAAACCTTAACTAGAATTTTTGGAGATGTCCACTATGTCCATAGTATTCAGAGTTATACAATGCTAAGTGAAAACAAAAAAATAAATAAAACCCTCTTATTATTTTAAACAACAGAAATTTTCTTCATGAAAATCAATGTGATATAATAAAAGACAGGCCACAGATGATCAGATTTGAGTTTTTGAATTCAAAATTTTTTTCTTACTAGTTCCTCTCCCTTTTTTATCGAGCCACCATGAGAAACACAGTTGCAAGGTTGTTCATGATCGGGTATCAGTAATATGATGTTTCAACACCCATATAATACATTTTTAAATCTGAAAGTATAAATATCACTTAATGATGTTTATAAGTAATTATCTTTTAATTTTATTAGAGCACTGTGAATTGCAAAGTTATTCATAGCTAAGTTTTTGACATACAGTATTCCATCACCAATCCCGCCACCAGTGTCAACTTCTCCCCACTAGTGTTCCCAGATTCCTTCTCCTATCCACCTGTGACAGCCCCAGCTTGCCATCTTGACTGGTACCATTTCAGTTTATTAATTAAAAGTTTGGGTTTCACAATTTCAGTGTTGTTAATTGTGTGGTTTGGACATTTAGCTCTGTCATTATATTTTATGAGACTCCTTTTCACTTTATTGCTTTATGTTCTAAAATGAATTGCTTTATAGGGGATTTGGCCATTGGAACATACTGAATTTTAAAAACAACTATTATTTGTCTCTTTTTGAAAAGTTCTATTCACACACATAGGAGCATATATATAAATACCAGTCCAGTCTTCTCAGTTCAGATTTTAAAACAAGTAAGTAGATTTGAAAAGAATTGAAGAGTCAAGGCATACTACAGTTTACTGAGATCAGGAAAAGATGCATATATTACCACAAAGTGATTTTTATTTCTTGTACTGACAATATAATATCTTTCTCCTTTTACTAGCAATAAATGTTGAACTCACTCTATTGTTACAAATACAATTTTATGCTTTGGAGGAATATTTGCATTGTATCTTTCTTATACAACTAAAATAAACTTTGAAATACATTTTATAAATATTATTACTTTGAAATGATACAATAATCTTCTTTCAATTTATTTTTATTTTTCCCTTCCTGCAGATCTCAAACAGTGAGCCTTTAAGGATTACCTTGTTATATTTAAACTGGAGTTTGATCTTGTGGCATTGTACTTGTCAACCAAACATTTTTATGCCATTGAGTCATTCTCTGGGTCCCCACTAATTTTCTTTCTGAGATAACACTACATCAATTTGTGTTAGCCCTATATTTTGTCTCTCAGTAA